GGTGGATGCCCCATCCCTGGAAACATTCCAGGTCAGGTTGGATGGGGCTCTGAGCAGCCTGATCTAGCTGAAGATGTCCCTGCCCACGGCAGGGGGGTTGGACTAGATGACCTTTAGAGGTCCCTTCCAACCCAAACTATTCTATGGTTCTATGACTCGCCCGATGAATCAGTAAAAATTAGTGACGGCATAAAGATGGAAATACAGAAAGATTCCTGAGATTAGTTAATTTGGCATAATCCGCTGAATCACACAGCTAAGGAAAGATGCTTTCTAAAGGTTACTGAACCTTCAGAACAGGGAGCTTGTCTTGGTTGCCCAGACATAAACAAGTTGTGACTGTACTTTGTGTGTGCTATGAAGTTCTTTTTATTTTGCCTTCTTTGTAATCCTGCTACGACTGGCATACGCTGAACAGTTTAGACCAGAATTCCTACTACTGTACCCTTCTGGAAAGAAGGATGCAGTCAGAGAGCAAGAGCAAGAGAGAACTGAATTGCAGAATTTAGATGAAATATGTTCTTTTGGAGTTTTTGGTTGGTTTGGTGTTTTGGGGTTTTGTTTGTTTTGGTTTTTTTTTTTTTGGGGGGGGTGGTAGGCTGTCATGGGTGGCCTGGTGGTAGTCATGTCTTTGTCTTTCCCTGAAATATGACAATGATAGTATCCAGGGTAAGCAGCATAGTCTCTCTCTCACACACACACACACAGAGACACTACTCATGTCACTGTAATTTTGTGATATGCATGTCATAGGATCTGGGTTGCATTACAAAGAACCACACGTTAGAGTACAAAAGCATCAAGGAATGAGGATGGTAACAAAAAATCACACAGAACTGGAATTTATGGAAACAAGGCAGCAGAATCCCATGGTGTGGGGAAAATGGAGGAAGAGCTAGCCGTGCAACACTGGGGTAGCAGAAGGCTGTGGCTAAGTCTAGAGTGCAGGCTCCTTCATTGGTTTAGACAAAGATAGCATCTGCCCTTGCTAGAAATGCGTGGAAGAAAGAGAAAAAGATGTCAAGGAATAAAGAGAAACCACAGGTAATTAGAGCAAAGGAGCAAAAATGAAGAGGAATGTCTTTGTCCACAGGCCAAGTCCAGACCATACCAGACAAACATCCTGAATCTTGATGAAGTCAATTCAGCTTATCGGTGCAGTGGGATATTCTCTGGTCTGAATAAGAGCGTAACATCCTGACTTCTAATGCTCTGTAGAATAGCCTTGCAAATAATACCATGTTAGTTTGACTAAAGTAGTATTTGAGTGATTTGTCTCCAGGATCAGATAAATGTCCTGTTACATGTTCCTGCCTGGTTTCTGCACATACCAGTAGTGCTGGGTTGCAAATGTTCCTACCGAAAGGAACGTTTCTATTTTGTAGTAATAATAACAATAATTATTATTATTAATGATAAAGTAATCCTGTAGTAGCATTTCTGAGGTTCTAAATGCAGGATGATTTCTAAAACGACATGGTATTAGCAGAGGCTTCCCCTGTTCCTGGGAGGCAGCTGCGCGCCTTCTGCTCTCCTCAGGCAGGCGAGGACACGTTTTCCGTCTGGAGCACGT